CGTAGAACCAGTTGGACATTATTATGAATATTAAAATCTTCTCACAGTTTCTCATTGTAATGATTCAGGCAAATAGCTAATCAAAATGCTTCAGCACGCGCACTGACTTCCGCCTATACATTTCTAATTTATTAGAAGTCCCGCGTATATATCTATAGATAGAGTGAGTCTATATGGTCTATTTTCAAATAAATCAAAGAACCGTCGAAAGTATAAGGTCATCTCTATTTATATGTAGGCAGTGCTAGGTTTGCTGCATCGATGGTATACAGTGAAAGTACGAGCTCAACCTGCGCCGGCGCAGCACTCAAATCGCTGTGTCGTAAGGCTGCGTGCTCAGAGGGGCTCTAGAAAGCTCTATGGAATTTTCCACGGACACAACAGGGTCTGCTGCTTTGTTCCGTTTCGATTTCGTAACCAAGTCTACTGCAATGACACCGACAATTGCATTGTAGTTTCCTGCATGTATTTCGTATGGTAATTTTTATAGCTCTCTGCACTTCCCTAGCGTAATTTGATCAGTAAGTTTATAAACATGTAGTGTTCAATGAAACTGTGTCATGTTTAGAATAACAACCTTTATCTACCCGCCCCGCTTTCATACAAGTCGTCGTTATGTACGAGATACTACTATCTCAAAATGTCCGTAACGCCAATCAATCACAGTGTAGAAGGATACTTATCGTTCAAGTAATTAAGCTGGCAGCTGGGTGCACTTGGCGTGGCACACTGCAGCAGGCGCGTGGTAGTCCACGTGAGGCCTCTGTAATCGCACTGCACGAGTTCACTTACAAACAACTCTACATCTTGCATATTATACTAATTGTCACAATTAAATGTGCGTGGGAGTAGACCTATTCAACATCAACAATCAAGATCAAGTACAGAGGTATTACAGACGTTAACCACCTGCAAAACATTATGTAATCGTTTGTTAGTGGTACGTACATACTGTTTTTTGTCGTTGTAGTCAGGTCAAGCTCAAGGCACATGATACTACAAAAGTACTCACCTACACGCGTGTTGAATGATCTTATTGTTTGAAAAGAAAAGCTTCTAATTCTTTCGCACTTTTTATGTAACATGTTAATTTATTGCCCAACTGAAGTTATCGATCTGTGTCGAGGTCGAGTTTGCCATTTACATGGTTCTCATTCATACAGAAGCTAATTCCTACTCACTACTTACTACTTCGACAAATTAAAAACAAATTTCCTGAATGAAAATGATGAGTCAGTCTGTTGGCTCGATTGGCGGGTGTTCATTCAAACCGACATCGTCCCGATCCTCGCCAAGTATGACGATGATGGACGAGCCTTCTTTACTGTTGTTTTACAGCTCTGTCCTAGAAACAAAAACGATTTGATGGTACAATAGTAGGTAATGTGCGAAGAAAGACTTTGTTTCATGAGTCTGTGAACGATTTCGATGTGTTGACGAAAATTGTTCTGAAAATACTAGCAAACTTTTTACACATAATTAAACCAGATTTCCTGAAATGTTTAAACTAACTACTTTCCGCTAATTTTGTTATGATTAGAGCAGAGTTATACAGGTGTTCACTGATTTTAATATGGAAATTTATAATAAAACAACTTTGTTTATAGTAAATTATTATAAAAAGGAAGAGATGTGATATATAAACAATAAATGTACTCACAGGTCAACGGTGTCGCACCACACACTTCCCATCTCTTAGAAGTGGCAGGCGAACTTTCCCTTGAGCGGTGCACTACGTACTATAAACAAAGTTGTTTTATTATAAATTTCCATATTAAAATCAGTGAACACCAGATTTGTAGTAATAACACAACTTAGCGTCTCACAATAATCCAGTCTGAGATTTGTAATTACTCGGTACTTAATTTTTTTAAAAGACGTGATAAATATAACTCTTGTTTTGTATAAAATCAATGTGGGTGATTCTGCAGAGTACTACAGAGTAACCGTCCTGGCGGGCACGGTCTGAATCAATAATACTTCATTCCGGTAATGCTATTTATACACCACACAACGAATATAAATATCGGTCGCGTATTGACGGTCATGGATGGTCGCGTCGATCATCGAGTACCGAGATTCTGACCCGTATGTCTACATGCACATGAAGCACTTTCTTAAAGTTTTCGTGTGTAACGCCATCTTAACCTCGGTGAGTTTAATGTTCTCTTTATTGATTATTGGCATCGGGTGGCAACAGGTACAATCTAGAATTACTGTTGGCAAAGTCTTCAGTGCAGCACTTTGTCGCATTCCTTTATCTCGTGATCACATTATGTAAAATCATAGTTTCTTTAATATTACAATATTCTTAATTTTTAGCTAATTTTAAAGTATCATGTCTTATTTTATGTTTGCTTTCATCTTAAAAATATTTTTTATTTTAATAACGTTCTGTTTTACGTAAAACAACTAGAAATACACGGGAAAGCATCTATTTTTGTAAACTAACTTTCCCTCTGGTTGCACTCGCGGTCACTTAGATTCCAGGTCATGGTCCACCTCTGTGCCAAAAATCCAACGAGAGATTTGGAACGGATAAGGCAACTATTTCACATAGATAGATGTTACGAGCCTGTAAAACGACACTGAAGTTTTATATTCGAGTGTGATGTGATATTATATTACAAGGTACTCTGGGATTACAGAAATTGAAAAACTAGGTGTAGTCGCAAACTGACGCAACCTAGTGACCTAAATTTAAAAGTGCGAGTATATGCGACCTCGTCATTTTCCAGGTTATACTCCTTTATGTCATTATAGATGCGAAATAAAACAGGCCATGTTACAGACATACATTTGCCATGGGTTTGTAAATAATATGACGGATTGTGCCTCGTGACGTATTTGGAGAAGTTAACTTAATCATTAGTACTTACTTTGATAAAGGAAATATCCTCACAGAAGTTGTAAGTGTTTTGTGGACTGAATGAGTGTTTTAAGGGTTTTGTTGTTTCAATAAATCCATACAATTTGAGTTTACCTGAAAACGTTTTGGGTTCATTACCCGGAGGCTGATTTAAATACTAAAAAATATTAATGCTATTTTAACATTGTTATTGAAAAACAAAGCCATTACATTGTAATTACTGCTGTTATGACAAAGTTCAGTTGTTAAAGTACCTATGTATGTACACTGTGTGACTGAAATAAAGGAAAATATTGTCGCCTCTGAATTTAATTTGGTCAATCTGCAAGTAGGTTCCAAGATGTTCTCAGAAATATACGACTGAATGCCCAGAATTCCTGCAGCGTTTATTCACGCCAGGGTCATTGAATTATTTGTGTTTATCCAGAATACTTTACATTCTGATAAACAAAAGGAAAATTGTACAACACACAACCTTGAAACACTGTTATCAATGATGATTGCATCGTACGACATCATCATATTTGTTTATTGTTTGAACATGTCGTAAGCCTTTGTATCGTTTAGTAATCATCTGATTTAAATGTTGCTAGTTTTGTTCCTGTTTTTTAAGAATTTTGTTAATTTGCTGCTTGACTTATTTCAATTAAGTACAAACACAACAACTATAAAGGTCTTAAGTCTAATTTCCCTTGCACCTAAAAACTTTAAATTGGTATTTGGCTTCTTCCTTACTGAGTTTTTACAAAGTAAATGCCATTAAATTTTTCATTGTACCATTGTCGCTATCGCTTTTTCCGACCGGCAGTAATATTTATCTAGCCTACGAGTTAACAGGGCGTGTGATTAGATCGAGCATCGGTCGTCTCATTAGCGTTACGTAATAAACCGTTATAGTTATGCTCCGGCTGTCAGTAGTCTATTACAACCCGTGTAAATTTAACTATGTCGACACAACAACTCCTCGTCTTCTTGAAACCGGTCGTATCCGGTTCTCAGCACATATGACCTTATTATCTTGCGTTTACAAACATTCGTTTTCGTCACAGTTCAATTTATAGTGAGCGCCAAGCACGAGCATGTTGACTCGCAAAAGGATACGATAGTACATAACACACGCATGTATTATTGGTCTTATCAAGAGTTTGAAGGTTTCGTCGATAATGTACGTGAACAAATAATTCAAGCCTCGTCTTTATAAACCATTCTATTCTTAACTGCGGCAGCTGCCTATTATTATGTTTCGCAGACTCCATGCTAGATTATTTTGGTTCAGAGTTTGGCAAACTGTCGTTGTTGTTTGGAACCATATGATTTTATGACGTGTATTTTTTTGGTACTCTATTTCAGTATGGCTGGTAATGACGTGTTGTCGTCGTAGTGGTAGGTGGTTCGCTGACGAACCTCGGACTATATGAGAGGCGGGGCTTGCGCGTCATGCAAATATACTCCGAACAGACGCATCGCGGGTTCGCTTCTAATTTGGTGACGCCGCGCGCCGCGGGCGACCGCTGGCTGGCAAGCTCTTGTCGCACTGCTACGCAATCTTAACGACGTGACATAGAGAAAAATCGCACTATTCAAACGTCATAATAAACACTCATCGATTAAATTAAACAAAGAATAATATGGTAAACACGGGAATGTTTACATTGATCGTAAAGCTAAACGTCGTTGAGCACACGCGTGCTCAACACCAGATGTTATGTGCCTGGAATGTATTTTGTACGAAAAGGAAAGAGCCACCAGACGTAACAAAACACATTTATAACTGAGGTATTTAGAGGCCGGGTATAAGCCGACTTGTAAAAATGTCTGAATCGGATGGTCGTGTCGTGCCCTTTTTGAAGAAACTGACGGTCGTGTTTCGTGATTGAGAGAATGATATTAAAATAAAACAAAATAAGCAGTGCCTGCGCAGTTTCTAGACTCAATTCAGAGCATTCGAAGGTCTTTAAATTGACATTTACTGATTAAAGCTAGCTGTGGCCACTAGCATCTCGCACTGCTTTGAATTGCTTCTCGTTTCTTTGTCTCATTGACAATGAATGAGTCAATCGTTTTGAACTCAATGTGAACTCTTCTATCAATACACTGGGTTTTATAAATAACTCTGTGTTGATCCTCAAAGTTGTTTGAGTATAGCTTCGATAAGGGTTTCGTGGTAAGTAACTTTGTGAAGGTCAGGCAATTAATTTTGTTTGTTCAATGTCAACAGATTCTGCACGTTTGTACACAATTTGTATTAAAATTTTACGAATATCAACTATCGAGTTGTAAATTTTATCGGGTCGAATGACAAAAATTCACTTTTAATACACGGAAGGAACAGTATCTCATTATTTAATAGTTTACCATATTAGGCAATTAAAATGAACGTAACAAATTTGCTGTGTCACAACTGTTTTGTTTGATTTTAAGTAAATGTAACACGTGTTATGTAATATATGAAGAAATATTTTGTTGCATCAACATTATAAAGTTTAATCGATTACTTAAACTAGACTTAGTGTCTGTAGCTGCCTACGTTTCTTTTCCATATGAAGAAACATGTTTGAATTTACATAAACCTGTATATTACTGTTATATATAATGCTACAATATATACAAACCGTTGTTACTTGTAATTGATTGTTTTATACGGTATATTCCCTTTACTTGTAATTACGCAACATTTCATGATTTGCGGCAAAATAATTGAATATTAGGTATATTCATTGAATACCTGCCTAACTGAGTGAATAGTGATATTCAATATTGAATTTAATTTGACGATAAACTCCGCCGTAGACAAAATAATAAATGAAATCAAATGAGATAAACAGGTAGGTATAACATATTTGATTAATTACGTAAGACAGTCAAACAGGTCATTTAATATTCAACGTTTTTCGTTTTGCGGCTAGGGTTTTTGGCAAGTGGGGAATGCCTAATGGCGTCGAACGCACTGAACATCAAAGCTGGTACTTGCGTACTATTTGTTATTAGTATAGCATTGGGTATAATGTCCAGTTGTACGATCACCGTCATTTCCTTGCTCGTTTCCGTCCGTTGACGTAGTCGGTCACATACCCTTGGGAAAAAGTCAGGCATTAAGTCTATCATCTGCAAACTGCAACAAATATATACATTGGCTTTTGCTTGCCATTTTCTTATTTATAGCATATTTAGTATACCTTGCAGAATAACAGAACGTTCCTAAAATTATCCAAAATGCACTAAAAGTAGTGTCTAGCGGTCGCGGTCGCTAGTATGACTGTGACACACGCATCATCACTTAGAATAGATAGGTGTAGTATTGTAGAGGCTGATGGTGGTTTCTCTTTGTTGATCAGGTGGACAGCGGCGGCGGTGGCTCGGCCGAAGTAATGGTGTACTCTCTCGGCTGGGGCATGGGGGAGCCGGAGCGGCGCGGCGCGGACCGCAAGCGCGGCCAGCCGGCGCCGGTCACCGTGGTACACACACCGCTCTCGCCTGACGAAGGACATGAAGTGGACGTTCTGCCCTTACACAATCAGGTATGATATAGCCACAACTCAAAACACAACCTAAAAGGTATTAGTTAGCCTGTCTGGGCTGAACTAGCCTTTAAAGGCGCTCTCTGAGAAACAGGTTTCTTGTCCAATTGGACATAAAATTTTTAACTGATGCTATGATTGGTCACACAAGGGACTCATTAGCACCATCCAGGGAAAAGATACTGTCGCTTATTGAGAATATTTGAATTTATTGTGACATACATTGTGTGGTCATTCAAGCAACATTCTGGTCTCAAAATAGAAATCCGATGAAACTACGCGTTAAATATACACAATCTGAAACGTTAACTATTTAATTTATTGCCAGCCAGCATCACTGTTCTTAGCCAATTTCCTTATTAACTTGGGAGTATTAATTCGTAAAAATGTATTCGTAGCCAACTACGGGATTTCGTAGCACCGTAGCACCTTCGTAGCATTTTACGTTACGACCATTATTATTAATATTTTTGCCTATCCACGTAATAAATATAACGTTTTATCTTTGTACTCTCTTCGTTTTCTCATTACAAACTTTACAAAATTGTAGGTAATGTTTTAGAAACATACAAACTTTTAATTTCACACCAGATTATAAAATATGTTTACTATTTTATTTATCTCTTTTCGATGGATTAATGGATGTGTTAGATAAAAACACATCGCATTTGTTTCTATGGGTATAAACCCTTACAGGAAGAGCAAGAGTAGACTAATTTAATATGAATGATAGATTAGACTGTATTCAACTGTATCCGGATTACGTTATGATTAATATAATGTTTTTGTAGGTACAAACTGACATGTTACGTCTATCATCATTGGTAATTTATGAAATAATTATTAAAAGAGTAAAGTTAAGAATAATAAAACTAAAACAAATACAAAAAGAAATAAATTCACTTCTATGATCCTGAAATATTCATTAAGCATAGTATGTATGTATAAATAATTCAATATTATCAAATCAAACTTTGTTTAACTTCACTTCGTTTTGTCTTAAGTTTTGTATCAGACAAACTCGTTATTTTGCTTGGGAGCACAGTTCAAGTGCGGTTATGTTATTTAGCCTTACACGTTTATAAATAGGAGTGAAGCACTTTCGAATGTGATATTGAGATATCTGAATTATTACAAGCAATAATAATGTACCCAATTATCCGTTGTTGTTTGCCAAAAACTAAATTCGTTATTGTTACCAAGTCTGAACTCTGAATGGAACGATAGTATGTAAAGATCAATAATAAATTACTCAGCCGTCATTACGGGTCTGTAATCCCTAAAAGGAGCACTATCATGCCACGATAACTGTGTTATATCTAAACTTTTTTATTTTACTATCAGTTTAGTTAGTATTTAGTTGTAATTCATAACTTGATCCTGGGGCGGTTTCCTGAGCATGTCGATATACCTTTACAATTATACGCGTACATTGCGGTGTGAGGTGCAATGCGCAAACTCCGGAACGTGGCGGAACGGTATTACCAAGGAGTATTACTCATATGCCTAGCCTAAAGTGACATACTATCTGCCGAACACTCATTGGTAATTAGTGATTTTCATTCCATACACATTTTACAATTAATTTCAATAAAATAATACTTTATTTTGTCTGGTATGAGAAACCTGGGACCTAAGATAAGTTACCTGCACTTTAATAATATGAATATAGTATTATGAACATGAAGGTATAATTGGTTACACGGTCGTAGTCGTCTTCTTACCTTGTTTCATTATGCAAATAAGTATATTCGTAATGCAACGACCTCATGACCGCTAATTTGTATCTGTGGGTGGCTTATCATTGTCTAGAGAGATATAAGTAGTATAAGTGCATTCGAATTTGAATGTAACGTTTGTATATAGGATGCTAATACTAGTTGAGGCTCGGGGTGGCCCTGGTTGGAGGCAGGGTAGTTGAGCCGCGCCCAGGTGTTGTGTGCCCGAGCCACGGCACGGCGCGGCGGCAGGTCAATGGCATCACCCGCCATACTTTTTTTACTCTATTTCTCACTCGCAAGTAATTCGATCGGTTGAATGCATATTGTACAGACTGCAACTTGCTTTGCGTGTCATAATAAATTATTACCAACGTTTGACGACGCGGTATAATTTGAGCTTATGTGAATTTATATTTTCTGACATGAAATTATACCTGACGAATAGATTATTTATTAGATATACATAGTCGCATTCGACTTTGATGACGTGTAAGTATTATGTTTTAAAATTTATATTAGGCAAATGACAAATGTTGTCAGTCCTTGCAAAATTGTTGCTGGACCTACTTAACATCAATAAAGAATCAGTTAATATGACAGTGAAGTTACCATTACATTACTTATACCTATGCGTTTGTGAAGAGTCATTAATATTTTTAATCGGAATAACTTTACAATTTTACAGGTAACGATATTCTATTTTGTAAATGTGCTATCTAACAGGGCCCTCAATTGCTATTTTCATTTTGTAAAAAAGCAGTGGGACGGTACACCTATACCCACAATAACGAAAAAGCAATAAACTATTCAGTATAAGAAAAACATGTTATACATTATGGAGTATCAGACCTATGCAGATAAGTATGAATGTGATGTAGATTCCACTAATTACGATATTTCATGTGCAGGTGGGGGGCCACACTAGACTGTTGGTGCTAAACGACAGTACCGTAATCAAGCCGCTCAATATTCGCGAGTTGCATTTCTACCAGAACATTCCCGAAGACATCCAGAACTTCGTACCCAGATACAAAGGTGAGCATCACACTCCTTTGTCGCGTTGACCACGATTCAATATGGCCGACCAGTACGCTTTTACGATTCGCTGAATGCATCATGTTCATTCATTGCATCTTACATTATTCTTTAATTATAATGATATTATCCGTTTTTGTTTACATATCAATTGTGTTGTTTAAATGTCTTTGCATTTGAAGCACTAAGGAAGTTATAGATTTTATAATATTATGAATTGTCACAAATTGATTAAATATTGCCGTTATCTGTTTTCCACAGCCTTGTGAATATCGTGTTTACGAAACATGGATGGTATCGAATTGGCAGTTGGTATATCGATCGTTTCGAAACATTACACATGTTTCAGGTGCTTTTGATCGATTGCTACGTATATTTATAATTATTTATTGTTTTATCTCTTGCGTCATTCGGTACTTAAGATTATCTAATGTAATCGTAATTCGATCATGAAGCTGTGAAATATGATAAAACTAGATTGGTGGAAAACTTTCCTTACTGCTTGATGATCGTAACCATCATTTTCAAATTGAGTATGAGAGAGAATGTGTGTATGTCGAACGAAGCAAACCCGCCGACCGCTAAATTATACTATGCTCCGACCTATTTAAATATCCAACGTGTCTGAAATCATGTTGAAACTCTTTTTGTTTGTGACATATGGCTATTATTGATATTTAATTTAATTGCTAATGTGTCTAACATAACTATACTTATGCAAACAACAAAACAGGCCCTTAGGTAAGTATTACAAGAATAATACTATATTATTTTCTAAACGATGATATTAATTATATGAGGGGTACATTATATTTGATAATATCGTTAAAAACTGGTTTAGCCTATTTCTATTTATTAGAACTTGTACTTACCGTAATTATTTTGTGGATAATAATAAAAACACTCCAATTATGCAATAACCTGGTACATTTATGCTAAACCAGAACATTTGTGGCCACGAATATAAATAATTTGTAATAACAACAGTTAATAATGTTGTTAATTGTCCTTCACGTTACCGTTGGTGCAGAATGTGGCAATATAAATAATGTTTTTAATAGTACATTAACAGATTTACTGGAAACGACACTTGCTAACTTTGCCCAGTTAAGTATACAAACATTGCTCACATTGTGCATCATATTACATTTGAACTTTTACTGTGTTACTGCGTTCTCGATTCCTATCCGCAAGAATGGCATGCGCGTACCTACTTAATGTGAACGACAACGTTGTAACGTAATCGTTATTACTTAGTTTCCATTTTATTTTAATTTGCTAAATAGAAACAGTTGGTAAGTGATATTAGTTCAAGGCTGGTGGTAGCGGACGCCAGTTTTTGTTCTATGGGTTGTTGTTTGGTTTGGTGTTGTATGTTTAGTTAGTTGCATCCGTGGATAGAAGTGCACAGTGCGTGTGTAACAAGTAAAAGTTCAGTGTATGTAAGCGAACGGCATCAGGTTAGGTTAGGGCGTGCGTGGCACCGCGTGGCCAGAGGGGCGGCGGGTTTGAGTGGGAGCGCGCGAGCGGGTGCGGGAGCGGGAGCGGGCCTGGGGTCAGGAACACAATATTAGTTTCCTTGTTGTCGCAAGGGCTGCGGCGCTGCGGCGGGCGGAGCGACGCCGGCGGCGCACCACACAACCGCCCCTAATAGCGCCCTAGCGGTAATTTTACATTTTGGGTTTGTAAACCTTTACTTAAAAACTACACCCACATCATACTTGTACATACACGCATACACACCTACATGCATTGTCTACTTACAACAATCAATTGTTTGATCACATACACGCTTACCGACGCAGTTACACGTTACACGAGACTCGATACAAAAGATATACAAACCCTGTTTAAAAACAAAGTAACTTAATCACTTCCTCATCAAATAACGCTGCCAACTTGCACCATAGTAAGTTAATGTTGAATATACGAACGTAGATAGTGGATCAAGTAACTCATTCAATGTCCCAATAACGAACCAGTGTGCCACTGGCCAGTTCCGGGTCGGGACCCGACTGGGCATGTTCTGAGTTTGCAATCTTCTATCTTGCACAAACTTCATTCATCTATTGTACTGCTACAGTACGATCTCTTTTAATTAAGATGACGTCCCTTTGTTTTTGAAGTTATAACAGTCAGTATCGATGTTTATACATAGCTGTGGTGTGTGCGTGTGTGCTGGCGGACACTAGTATTGATGGCGAGGCCGTTTGTTTCAGGCGTGATGCAGGCGTCTAACACTGGAGGGCCCAAATTGGACAAGCGGTACTCGCCTTGTTTCCGTGACGAGAACGGGCGCAAGCAGTCGCTGGGCGGCAAGCGCAAGCGCGACGACGTGTTCAAGTGCGTATCCGCGCGACATGCGGCGACCGACATCCTAGGCACTTGTCATGTGTCCTTTATCATATTTCAGAAGCTTTGACGTACGCCGGCCCGCCGCCGACGTCGCCATTAATTCATTCGATCGCAATACTTACATGACTATCCCACTAACGCGTGAGCGATGCACGACCCATTCACTCTGCGAGCCTCCGATGACTTGCGTCGTGGAGTCGTGGTAATGACATCTATAATTTGATTGAAATGTTGCAATATAACAGATAACAATGAATCTACCTGTGTTTCATTAGCTCCTCTGCTATCTGTCGATCGTAGCTTGCTTGTCACCTCTGCCAGATAATACAATTCTACTTTTCTCCTTGCAGATTCAAGGTACATCGAAATGGAAATGCAAGCGAGGTACTTAAAAGCATTGCACACATGGACAATTCAAACAAGCAGTGTAAGTTACTATGTTCATTATGTATAACAAAATATAATATAATCATGATATAATAATTTCACCGAGTTGACTGACGTTGTTGTTTTATTTGTGACAGATTTCTTAATGATGGAGAATATCACATCTTCGTACCGGCGGCCGTGCGTGCTGGACCTGAAGATGGGTACGCGGCAGCACGGCGACGACGCCACCGCGGAGAAGCGCAGCAAACAGATCGCCAAGTGCGCCGCCAGCACCTCCGCCACGCTTGGGGTGCGGCTCTGTGGCATGCAGGTACAGTGTGCGCCGGCCGTATTAGTCGGGTCATACCTGTCCGTGTCGACCGAACAGATGACTGATGTAACGTGTCACTGTGCAGGTGTACGTGCCCGAGACGGGAGCGTGCGTGCGGCGCGACAAGTACTGGGGCCGCGCGCTCACCGAGAGCGGGCTGCGCGAGGCGCTACGGGACTTCTTCGCGGCTGGAGCCGGCCTGCGCGCGCGCGTCGTGAGACAAGTACTGCGTGACCTCGACGCACTGCGCAGAGCCATCGCCAAGCAAACTAGCTATAGGTTCTACTCGTGGTCAGTACTCTTCATTTTTCATTAATGATGCACCATAGTGAATCAGTTTGACAGCATCACATTAACACACGATATCGATCATTGCAGCTCATTGCTGATAGTATACGAAGGTGACGTGGAAACAGCGCTGGCCGAAGAGGCACGTGGCGTGACTACCGAGTACGACGCGGATGCGTCCAGTAGTTCGGCGGAGTTGGCACCGTCGCCGGGCCACTTCGACATGTCCACGTTGCACGACGAGATCTCGACGGAGCCAGGCGCGCGCGAGCCTTTCCGGCCGCATTCTGAGGAGACCATGGGAGGCTACGAGGACGGGGAGGTGGCGGGTCATTCTCCGCGCCGCCAGCCACCCAGCCCCGACTCGGCAGACAGCTGGATGGCGTACTCGTCCACCAGCAGCGAGTCGTGGCGCGGCGAGGCCGAGGCCGAGCCTGAGCCGGCCAGCGGCAAGCGCGCGCGCACGTGGGCGCCGCGGCCCGCGCGCCCGCCGCCCGACGAGCGCGTCGACATCCGCATGATCGACTTCGCGCACACGGCCTACGCGGGCGCCGCGGCCGAGTCACCGCTGGCCACCAGCACGCCGCACCACGGGCCCGACTGCGGCTTCCTCACCGGCATCGACAGCCTCAAGCGACTTCTCACGGAGATCCTGCCGCCGCAGCCCTACAGTTAATGAGGCGCTAGTCGGCCCGAGGGGCCTTTTCCTAGAAAAAAACGTTAAAAATTACCCTCCTTTCGGACGAAATTCTGAGAGAGCTGTGATCGCGTCGGACGCTGTGCCGTCGGGGCGGCGCCCTCGCGCTCGCCCCGCAGTGGAAATCTTTCGGAAGTACGTTTTAGTTCGCCGATGGTGAGTTTCGATGTTGTTGAAATGTATATTATATTTGAATGTAAAAACTATTTTCCTCAAAAATTTACCGTTCGACTGATGTAATTTTAAAAGTAGACAAATTACTAACATGTCGCTGTGTATTTACATAAAAAGGACATACGCAGGGTATTTTCCATTTGTACGTTTCGTGGCTGAGTGAGCGCGCGAATTTAAGTAACGATTCTTTTTATGTAATTGCATAGTGATTTATTGCACTTAGTGAATGTTGGCGGTACAAACTATGTTAATTTAATGTTTAAAACTATTATAATTTGATGTGGGACCCAGTAGGTATTCTTAAAATGTGTATTTGTAAGTATTACTGTTAAGTTATTCCAGATTGACGTGCTTTGAGTTGTTCTCCTAGCTTATAATTGATTTCTGTATGAGTGCTGATCAATGTGATTACCTGTAAATTGACATTAGACATTCCCTGTCTGTAGTGGTGGGCGTGTTGTAACGTTGTAACAGTAACACACGGCACTCTAGCCACGTGTCCCTCTCAACACTCTCGCTTTAGATTTGATGTTTTCATGTAACAGTGTATTACTGGTTTAGGCACAGGTGTGGATTAATCAACCCAGTCAGTTAGTAATGCCAAAATAATATCGTAATATTTATAAAGACCATAGCATGGTTTCCATAGTAGACAATGTAAATTTATTATATTGCTGTTTAGATTTTAAATAGTTGGTTAAGTGTCGATTCAAAGTTTGTGAGTTATTGAAATCATTTGACAATTGTTATGTGACTTGCGTTATAATGTACATTATATTATTTAGTTGAACATCTTGTGAATGTCACGAGCATGTGGTGCACATCTCGGACAATATGAAGTAAAGATATTTCCGCCAACAGTATTATAATGTTGTAGCTGCCAGTTAGTAAGCGTGCCCATTGTGACCAACGACCATATTGATCGGTTGCGGTATGAGAGACGTTTGTGGATGTGTTCTGCATGTGGCCGTATTGCGTGTTACGGTGCCAGTTCGTAATTACGATGCCGGAGGTTATAAATGAATCTAGAATGAGTATTCAAAGTGGGTCAGTGTATCGGCTAGTTTAGCGCACTGCCGACGGATGTGTGCACTAGCGACACTAGTTAGCCAACATTCCTTCGTGCTGCATTCGTCATTGTTTGTCCTTTTACTTTATTATTTTTATTAGTGGGATAAATTTTTGAAAAGTACCTGGTTTAATTAGGATGCTAGGTTGTATTGCATATTATCATTTATGTCTGTTATTTTAAATAACTGTATGACACTATTTTGTTAAATAAATTTTAGGTATTAAATATTTTGTTATTTTTTAACCTTTATTATAACATAATAACCTATCCCATACTTAATCTGGTGTCGCGGAGAACCTAACGGGTTACCGGGGCTCCAGCTCGAAGTGCAGGAGAAGGAACGGGGTGGTTTTTAGTCAATAAGAGTCTGATACTTCCTTCCGCCTCACCCAGGCGAAAGCATTCGATAATTTCCCCACTTAAAAAAAGGCGCGTGAAAGACAGACTTATTGTTTTGTTTCTATCTAATAAAAGAGATAAAGAATACAGATGAATTTTATAGAATTACAAGTAAAACCCCCCAAACCCCCCAAACCTATATGATTTCCCAAGATTATCATTATTATATTAAGCTAATTTCGAGGCAACGAAACACGCTGTATACAATATATAACAAAAACCCTGTTGTTCCTTCTACCTACATTTTAAACTGTCAAACACCGCGAGGACACCGGTGACCGCAATATAATGTTCTTGAATTGTGTCTATAATGAGTACCGTCAAAGGGTTAAGCATCGGCATACGGACGTAATAAAGCAAGTAATTTACAAAAATTGTTTAACAAAAATAATTAAATTCAATATTTAATTATAAATGATTTCTTACCTCTGTAATACTGCATGAAGACTAGACATACGAGTAGAACGTTACCGCCAATCTCTGATCAGTCCGCTACGCGGTGCTCCGCGATGCCGCGCTGTGCGTACCTAGATTTTTAATAGATATTATGTGATTTTAACATCTCGACTATTCATTGATTTTTTTTTATTATAATCTCATTAATCATGTGCTTTTAGATAAACGTCTAAGTCCTTGAAAGGAACAAAAGGTTTTTTGTTACATCTTGTATAGATAGTGCTGTTGCGGCAACTATGTGACGTCGCGCGTTCGTAATTTCAATTATAAGAAGTCGGTAAATAGTGATTGACTTAAGTATATTAACTCAAGTGTCAATAAACCAACGATAGAGAAAGGAATCGCCAACTTTTAACTTGTATAACTTAACTACAAGAAACAAACATCTTTTCCGACTTCATTAAAAAAACTAGAACCTATAAACTAAATTGACTATTAAATCTGCGGAAAGATCATCGTATAAAGCGATATCCATTGAATTAAACCTAAAGAGAAGTAATCTCCATTACTCATTGCTCGTCAAAAAACATTAAGCTGCTTTTGACATAGAAAGACAGCTTTGAAACTAGTAGACATTCCAAAGAAACAAATGTCTATCTCACTCGCTCAAGTCCTACCATAAGTAGATAGATACTCCTTGTCACACATAAATTACTTTAATGGATTCTGGGTTTCTGCTAAATGTATTTTTGGGCATTCTCTTTTAAAAATTATTAAAATAATTTAATATTTTGTAGAAATGTCCAAAAACGGCATTTGTGAAATAAATTTTTGGAGAAAGGTCTAAATGTGGCAGTATGAACTCATACAATTGCCCTCAAAATAAAAAAAGTTAAATTTCATTTCCCGCCATTTTGCTCGCTTTGGTAGGTGTGGTGAATTGATCATCTAGAAGTATCGTGATTTTTTTAAATACCTATCAACTTATTGAAAGCGTAAAAACATGGAAGAAATAAACGATGTGCAGGCTTTAGAAAAAATATCTAGCGAAGTTGACGAATCTCAAATAAAAGTTATTCTTTCAAGTCAATGCATTAAAGGTAAGATAAAAATACATAACAGTACTGTGGGTACATACTTACTTAATATTTATCTATATATTATGAGTTCACGATTCACGAGCACTCTTGAATCAAAATCGTGAAGCGAAAGTAAAAATACCTAGGTGCTTACCTGTTATTAGTACAAACGCCTTGTTTAATAGCTAGGTTTTATTGACAATATAGTTATAATACAGATGTTTAATATCTACTTGTACTTGAATTAATTAAAAATTAAAGAAAATAGGTACCTAGGTATTCTAAATGTTGCCTATGTATCAACTAATTGTGTGTCCTACCACGTGTATGTGTACTTACAATCCTACATTATGGATACATTGAACTACTAATATAGATATAGATCGTGCGTCCATGGCCTTCTACGGCGCCCCTGTGTGGGCGCCGAATCTGATGCGCAGGCCCGCTCGGGCGCTGCTCATGTCACAGAGGGTCATGGCGATCCGAATGATCCGCGAATATCGCACGATCTCCGGGAAGGCGGTGAACCTCCTTGCCGGATTACCGCCGTGGGATCTGGAGGCGAAGGTGCTCGCGCGCGTGTATTGCATGCGCGCGGAGGCACGTCGCCGGGGCGAAACTCCGCTGCCGCGCCAGATAAGTGCGTGGCGGGAAGAGCTCCGGCGCGATCTCATGGCGGAACGGCAGCAACGATTGCCGCAACCGAGGGCTGGGCTCGCTGCCATTGCAGCGGTAAGTCAGGGAAGTGATCGGCGATGGCGACCTCTCGGGTCCGGGCCTAATGCAGGTCATGATGCGGAGCGAGAGGGACTGGGATGTCGACTCCTCCTTTTGCGAAGCAGTTATGCTAGCTAAGGAGGAGGAGGGACGCGTGAGGCAGCGAAGCGCTTCCTCTTCGCAACCCAGCCATCGCGAAGGACAGACCGGGCGTCGGGGATCGCGAGTCGATCTCTACGATATCAGCGCGGGCCTGCGGACGGCGAGCATGGGTGGCTTCCCGTCCGACCAGAAACAGACCCGAGCGTACGGCGCGTCGCGTTATGCGCGCGCCTCAAAGAGCCATCAGACCACTACAGATGGGGCCGATTCGATGATTTCCCCCCTTAAAAAAATATAGCTATAGAACGTTATGAAGTTTAGTGAAACCTATTTATTGATAAAATAGTTCTCTTGACTTGATTAGTTTTTAGGTGTAGATATCATCCAATTCAATAATTATTTTAGCTCAAGCATTTTTACTTGATAAGTTGAAGAAGCAGGCTGAACGTCACAAGGAGACCTGCGGCTTTATCAGCAGCGCCAATCTGAAACTTGAAGCCGAAATCAAACAGGCAGAGTTGGAGATAAACAGGTTCGTCTCACATTATAAATATAAATAAAAAACGATTTCGAAAACAAAAAAAATACCAAGTATTGATATGATAATCCATTATTCATATGTATTGCCTAGAGCGATTGGGCTTGACCTAAGTTGGGATTTTATACACTGTGATTTTTAACATAACATAACATAACGTCACGCCTTTTATCCCCGAAGGGGTAGGCAGAGGTGCACATTATACCACTGTACGATGTAACACTCAGTTTTCACTATTTATGTTATGAGTCCCATGTAATAAATAGGGGGTGAGCCTATTGCCATATACCGGGCACAATTCCAGATTCCGTGCTACTACTGAGAATATTTAAAAACCCAGTAATACTTTGCCCGACCCGGGAATCGAACCCGAGACCCCTTGCCCGGCAGTCGCACTTACGACCACTCGGCCAACGAGGCAGTCAGACTGTGATTTTTATGTCTTTCAAAAGCAAGCCATTGCATGTATTTAATGACTAACTAGTAAACGTTAAAAAAATATAATGAAAACTCATAAATAAATACCTTGCAATATTTGAGATTTCAATAATTTATAAAAACAATATTATATTATTCATTACTATAACACCGTTGCGAGCGTAGATAATTTATCTTATAGGTACATACATATAAAATGAAGATCGAACGATCTTGACTGGCTGGCGCTGGGTATGTCCTAGCGCACGCACGAGGTGACATCTATAATAGACTCTATAATTTAACACCTAAACATAAATTGTTTTATATTGCCAAAGCCGAAAATTTAAAGAAGTGGGTATTACCGGTTAAATAATGTGGATCTCTTTTAAAAGACGAATAAAAAAGTCATGATGTATAAAATCTTAACTACCTATATTTTGATCATCTATCAGCTCAACTCAGCGTCCATAAGTAGTTACTCCACCATACTCTCAATTGCGGCGAAGCGTGGGTTCATGCTTCGGCACGAATGGTGTAGCGGGTTCGATTCCCGCAAGAAGCAATTTCTTGTGTTATCCACAAATTGTTGTTTGGATCTGGGAGTCATGTATGTGAACTTGTATGTTTGTAAACGCACTTACGACACAGGAAAAATGTTGTTGATTGATTAAAGTCACAGAAGTTTTGCAAATGATTACGAATTTTTTCTTTTATTATTTTGAGGTAGGTAGGTACCTACATCTACATATTATTATTATTTAATAAAATTATAATAGACAGGTTTGAAAAAATATTTCAGTATGCAAATAGCCCAAGAGACTATAAAATCTGGTAATGTTGAATTGAAGAAAGAATTGCTTTTAACTAAAGTACGCAAAACAGACATTATGGAACGCGTAGAAGAGGGTAAAAAGAAGTATGAAGCTATATGGCAGGAATGTAAAGCTAGGTACGAGAGCATTCCATTCGTACAAAAACTACTTAGGGCCAAGGATAAGGTTCAGGCTCTAAATAACGATATTGAAGCTCTTGATAAAGAAATATTAACGCTTTTTGAGTCAATGAAAACTCAACGCCAAACTTGTTTAACTTTCGACAAAATTCGTTGCATAGAATTAGCTAACTTTGTGGTCAATGAAGTGCCAAATATCAGAATTAACATTAATGACAAAACTAAGAATATCAATGAAGTAACAAAACAAATTGAAGAACATATTAAGAAGCAAAAGTCCGCAGTAGTAACACCAGCCGTGGAACCAGAAATTGCAGATAATATTGAAATACAAACCAAAGATTTAGTAAAAAATTATAATTTGGATAAAAATGATGACGATACTTTGGTATGTCAATTTGTATAGTATTGGTATACTAATTACCTAAATTTATTTGACCCACATTGCCTTTTTGTTTTTTCAGATACCAAAATTAGAACTGACTAATTTAGATCTCGATATTATAAATGTTAATATAGAACGGGTAAGGACTATTAATGGAATTACCAGAAGTATATACCTATGTATTGTTTAACATTACCTATTACTTACATCGAAAATAAATATTCTAACAGGCTAAAATGATGAACGACGAAATATCCAAAACAATACCATCGACAACGGACGCTAAGGATATTTTGGGCATTAATGACATTAAACCATACAATGCCGACAGCAAAGCTTTTGAATATGTAATTTCACCATATTTTAATTTGTATAAAGACAAGGAACCGCACAACTTCTCTAAGAGAAAGTTGATTAACATCCTTGAAGATGTTCACGTAAATAATGAAGAGGTGTACAACATTATTAAGAAGGTGAATCTGGAAAACCTTCGAACGATTGATGGAATTCCTTTGGGTTGTAATAAAAACGTTACAGATGAAAATACGGTTCCAAAGAACAGAGTAAGCCAATCATCAGTTTGTTTAGTTTTTCAAATTTTACATCACTAACTACTATCAATCGATAAACATTTATTTTTTATGTAAAACAGGCCACGCCGATTGAGAGTGATAATATCGAAGAAGTAGATATTACACGTTCTAATGCAGACGACATCTTAATACCACCAACACAATTTTTGGACATCACATTGACGGTAATAGATACCCACTGAATAAATTATTAGTCAAGTAACAAAGGTGGTAATAAGTTACTAAAAATTAGGCTTTCCTAAAAACTAGCTTAAATCCACACTTCACATGTCGACAACCTCGTGAGCTAAGTCTAGATATTTTATTTGTTTATCTTTCTCCGCTTTCACGAGGTTCTCGTCATGGGGAATGGTGACATCGATTATCATCGTGCAACGCACTTATCGGTCTATTACCATTATGTCAGGTTTAATTTATTCATATATTTATTTAAAATTCTCTATAAATTACATTTTTAAATACTACTTACAAAATAAAAAAAAATTATATTTAAAAATATAAAAAATAGGAGCCGACCAGTAACGGGAGCATGGTTCAAGCTACCGGTCTTAGGGCTCCAGAGACAGAAACCTCCTCACGATACGTGCCGTTTCTAGGAGAACTGCCTTCTGTATCAGGCCCTTGATCCATCCACCTAACGCCAGCCTCCTAAGATGGATGTCGAGGCTTTTAGGGATTAACCCATTGGCCGACACGACTATCGCCACAATGATAGCTGAATGCATACTCCACATGTCGACAACCTCGTGAGCTAAGTCTAGATATTTTGTTTGTTTATCTTTCTCAGCTTTCAGGAGGTTCTCGTCATGAGGAATGGTGACATCAATTATCATCGTGCGGCGTACTTGTCGGTCTATCACCACCATGTCAGGTTTATTGGCTACAATAGTTCAGTCAGTAATGATTAACCGGTCCCAGTACAATGTGATATGGTCATTTTCCAGAACTGAGTCGGGCACATACTTGTAGTACGGTACCTCAGACTCAACAAGTCGATAGTGTAAAGCAAGTTGCTGATGGATAATCTTGGCTACTTGATTATGCCTATGCAAATATTCACTGTTAGCCCAACGACCACAACCAGAAATAATATGTCTAATGGATTCACCAGGACTATGACATGCCCGACATATGTCAACCGTCCCATCCTAAATTATATATTTCCGGTAATTATTCGTAAGGATAACTTCGTCCATAATTGCACAGACAAATCCTTCAGTTTCTCCAAAGAGATTACTGAATCATAGCCAAGACACGGACGCTAGAAAATCTACACCGGGCCCATGAAGGGCCCGAAAGAAGCGTCCGTGGAGCTCCTTGCTATGCCATACCTCCTTGCGATCATTGACGCTCAGTACCACAGGTTTGCGCCAGTTCTCTTTTGCCAAGGATAGTGGAGTGAATCCATTGTCCACTGCTGCTACTTCTCTATGCATACCCTCGTTGACTTTCAGGAAATATTCCCTGAGGCTGCACAACTCACGGTTGTGAAGGGTCTTAGCATTTAATAAGCCTCGACCACCACACTTCCGCGGGATGTACAACCTCATGATGACCGACGAACGAGGGTGATGCATGCGATTTGCAGTCAGCAGGGTCCGGACTCGCTTATCCAGGGTGTCAAGTTCAGTCTGAGTCAACTTGAGTATACCAAAAGAATACATTAGGACTGGCATCATGACCCAACCGTTAAAGGCTCGCACCTTGTTTCCGCCTGATAAGGAACTTTTACACAGTACAGTACCTTATTCAGGCGGACAAAGAAGCGGTCCTGTAACGATTGCTTCATGTCCGGTCCATTAAACTGTCAAACACCAAGCGGTCACCGGTGACCGCGACCTATTGTTCTTTAATTGTGTCTATAAAACCGGTACTCGACGAGTTAATGCCTAATCCTTCTGACATACCCAGGTACTTGTATGTATCGTTTGCGGAGAGTGATCTCAGCTTTGTGAAATCTGAGAGAAATCTAATTTATTCATTATTGTTAAGACTTCCCAGGATGGTTTACTGAAGAAGAGAGTATCGTTTGACATTCCCTCATCGGTTACCATAAATGAAATAATAGAAGATGAGGGTAAAATAATTAATAATGATGAAAACGAAGCAATAGATCAAACTATTAATAGTCAGTTGGATATGAGTGTGGCCAGTGAGGATAGTTTTATGAAGATACAAGATATGATTATAAAGAAACATAATTTGGATCTTTCACCACAATTCGTCTATGCAAAAAATTCTGCACTGCAAAAGGTAAGTAAGGGTAAAAATCATTAAAAAATGAGAATGTTTTTAAATGTTCTAATTCTAATCAAATCAATTTGATTTGCTACCTACAATTATTTTTTCAGAAAGATGATATAATTGTAAAATCAAAGTTTTTCCAAAATGACAATCTCGGTTCTAATGAAGTTTCGGACGTTGCAATGGACAAAGGTGAAGAACCATATACCACGAAAAATGAATTACAATCTGACGAAAACCTCAAAAATTCTAAAAATACGGAAGAGCTGAATGATGGACATAATAATAATATACCAATGGATGTTGATGATATAGTTGTTTCCAGTCCCAAGGACAGTAAGGTAGATTAATGTAATCCCAATTAAAACATTTGGATATTATAATCCAGTAGGTTGTGGAGCTGTATATCCACAGATATAATATGGTATACACAGAAATATTAAAAAAGTGTATACCAGTATACCTCACACCTTTATTGTTATGGGATGTTGTAATGATGATGTGAAAAATTGATCGGCATTATTATCTGGTTGGTTAATAAAAACGTTAAAAATCACAGAAATCAGTTTTTCGTAAATATATAATAATTTGTTTAATTGCGAACATAACTAGGTTCCTACAATATTTTGTTTCATATTTGCTAAACGCCATTTTCTGTCGTTCGTATGCGGTCCTCACACCCTCCTGCAATAAAGGTTAAAATAGGAATGAAAGAAAATCTTTATATAGGTAACAAAACATATGTCTATGATGTATTTTTTATGGCATAATCTGGTAAACGAGCAGACGGATCACCTGTTGGTAAGCAATTGGCGTCGCCCATGGACACCTGGAAAGCGTCACAAGTGCGTTACCGGCCTTTTGGGGATTAGGAGTTGGGGAGATTGAGGATGGGGAGGGTAATTGGGCCTCCGGTAAACTCACTCACACGCAAGCGTTGCTTCACGTCGGTTTTCTGTGAGGCCGTGGTATCACTCCGGTCAGCCGGCCCATTTGTGCCGAAGCATGGCTCTCCCACACTTAAATGCACTTGTCATGCTCAAAACTAAAAGGACAGCAGTAGGTTCCTAATACTTTATTAATCATTATTATAATGCAGATAATGTGGTTCCGGAGATGGCCGTTTAACCATTTAATTTTATTATTTTACTAATATGCAAAAGATAATTTAAAAATATTGCTTACATTATGTTAGTTATAATCAGCCTTTTTCCGTCCACTGGACGTAGCCTTTCCAATAGCACGCCACTGAGCACTATCTCCAGCCGTTATTCCATCCAATGATTGTCAGCCATACAGCCATATCGTCAATTCACCTAACTAGAAGGCAGAACTTTGGTTCTCTGTTGGATCACTACATTCCTCGATTCAATCTCTCAGGGCTATTCCAAGCATAGCCCTCTACATAGCTAGCTGTGTTTATTGGTTGTTTAGTTGCACTGTCATTGTGTTCAGTTGCACTGTCTTTGTGTTCAGTTGCACTGTCATTGTCTATGTTGTCCCCCCTAAATATCATTACTGGCAGGTGGCAGGATGCACTCATTGACTAAAGTCTTCAAGCTTTACAATAAAGAACTTTATATATAAAAACTCCATTAAGTTTTCTACATGTTGCCCAGCTAAGCTCGAAATCTTCCCAGTCTTTGCAGAAGACGATTCACAATGACTATAGCTTATAGACATGGTTAACAAAGGAAATAAACTAATAATTTTTCAAGAGTTTGTCACCCATTTTGAAAAGCAATAATGACTACTTTAGAATTAAATATGTAAGGTGCTAAAGCCACTCAAGCACCATTTTGGTTTCCTATTTCTCGTAAAGGTAAATACAAAATCACGATTTGTTAATTTTTAGAAACATGAAAATTTATCTATATCTGATAAAGCCGTGGCTGGACTGTTATTTACTCATGGAACACAAGCAATACCCGATTCACTGAATGCATCCATGAGCACAACGGGTTTTGAAGATTCAGATTTTCCACATTGCATTGGTAGGATGAAAATTATTAAAACAATAAAGTTATCTGAAAGAATATTCATTATTTTCATAAGGTACTAATTTTCAGATTCAAGCCTACTTCTATCACCTAAAGCTGATATACCTTTAAGTGGTGAGAATGATGCCCAATCACAGGAAGTTCCAAACTTTCTTTCAGGTAGTTTGGTATACATTTAACCGAAGTGATTATAAGACCATTTATTTCATTTTACATGTCAAAAATATTTCTTTTCAAGGATTTCGTAAGGCAGGCTTGTCGTTTTTTGGAGGAGGAAGCACAAATTGTACAGAACCTAAGCCAGATTCAAGTGCACCTAGCGATGGAAATAATTTTAGTTTCAATTTCGGTGGAGAAAAGAAAAATAGAGGAGGCTTGTTTAGTTTATTCAATTAATTATTTTTGTTTCAATAAATTTCATTTACTATAGTGTCATGTTTTTTATTTGCAAACAACAAAACAGTGTTATTGATGTAACTGACAGGCTCTTACAGCTATTAATTGTAGAAGTATAAATAGAGGTGCAAAAACCTCACTATATTCTATTGCAGAATCACCTTGTAGTTTTCTGCATAATAAAAATTTAAATACAAATGTCAGGCCTAAAAATATAGCACTCCATGAAGCTCTATATAAGGAGGCTTTGTATGAACTTTCTAAATTCATCCTTATACATACTATACAGCAAAAATATGCATTCATAGCATCACTCACAAACAATGGTGCAAACACTGTCCACCAAGCGCTGTACACCACTCCATCTATTTTCAAAGCTAACAACACAGAGAATATTGTTATAGTAATTAGATTAATCCATATTTCAAACACTGTTAGTCCAATCCACTGCACTATTTCATTCAGCGTGAAGAACATCTTTACTGGTTGGCACCAAGCATTGCAGTTCTAAATATCCTTATATGGATTGAAGATGAACACCTCACTTGTGAATCAAAGTCTAGCTCATCAGTCAGTGGCTCCAGGTCATCTGTGGAATTATAATTATCCCAATTACATAAATTTTATAAAGAAATATTCATTGTACATTGCATAATATTTGTAATTTTGTTTCTTAAATTTTTCACATGGCTTTCCATGCCAAATAATTCTAGTGTAAAATAATAATATGAACTAAACATTGTACACACCAACACAGTCTACAGTTCCGGTGTTTACTTCAATCTGACATGTGCCAGAGAACAATATTTCAAGTTGAAGTGCCAGGTTGCAGCACCTTTGTATGGCAGCGCCTAAACCATGAAGAATTATGTCTTTTTCTCCCTTAGTCAAGAGATCGCAGCACTTATCGAGCTGTGCCTGAAACAAATATTAACTAGAACTAATTAAAAGTGTTTTCAAGTAAAAGAAAACATGTACCTAGTTTGTTGTCTAATCTGCATGGCATTAGTGTCCATTACCTTGAAATTAGTCTTCCTCGTAATATATATCACATTATCACCGTCTACGGGTTTCAATGGTACTCGCTTTTTTAAAGCATAGTTTTTGTTTGGGTGTCGTTTAGGTCTTTTCTTTAAATCTTCCTTCTTCTGAGGAGTGTTTTCATCTGCCATAATTCAGAATAGCAAGTGACACAAGTGGCAGTGGCACAAATACCAAAACAAAATGTCAGTTTTCATTTGACGTTTAACCATAGATATATTTCTTATTGTCTATGCCTGTAACATTACTTTGACGGATAACTTCAGTATGTTCGGATACATACATTCCGTTATTTTAAATAAAAATCATTTATTCAAATAAAAAACTTAAATTAAAACTAACTATTACTTAAATAAAATTAAAACTAAATATTACTAAATTAAATATATACAACTTAAGATTAAAATTAATTATAAGAAAAACAAAAACAACTATTTACATAAAGCATCGGAAAGTTCGTCCGCATCGACGTCAGTGGGGAAAGTACCCAGAAGGTTGGCAGCATTGCCACGTTTTATGGCATTGCTTAACCTCTGATCGAGAAAAAGACCAGCCCTCTGGTCACAAGATGTGTCGACCAGGCGTTTCGAAATGTTTTTGAACAATTTAAGCGCACTCGGACTCCACGGACCTAGCGTCTCAACTCCAAACACCTCAAAGATATAACTACCAGCAAGGTTGTTATACTTGCGCCGCTTGAGGTTTTCTGCAGAGGCAGCAGCCGAACCAGCACAACTCGTTGTTACTGGAAGATGAGAAGGTGCAAGGGTGTCGACGCAGGTTGCGTCCCACACCAAAGACCTTCCCAGCTTCCAGGGCATAATGGACATACCATCGTCGGGTCGGTATGTCCATTATGCCATTTAATTCCTTACTTTCACTAAAATAAAACTGGTTTTTGACCATAATCTGTCGGCGTTTTTCGGGAGCGTTCCGTTTACACCCTGTATAATATATGTACATACGTATGTTTGTTAGGTCAGGGGATCCACCATGGATGATCCAAATGATTGTCTGTAGGAAGAAATTAAGGTGTACTTATCTCGGCGATAAATTTATAACAATGCTGTTGTTTAAGATATAAGATGAAAAAATTTATCTGTCGACGGAAAAGTCGACCCTAAGGCCCCTGATTGGTTGGTTCATTGGAGTCGGCCAATCAGAGAGCCCAAAACGTACTCGTTTCAATTACTTTCAACGTAAAACAAACCTTGTACTAAGCCCTCAGTAATTTTGTACTTCAATAACGTCAAAAAGGGCCGATTTTTCCAACGCCAGATAAATTTTAAGCGAGGAATAACTTTAAACCTTCCATAGGTACTAAAAACTGTCAAATGTCAATTTTATTCTAAAGTTAAAAATTAACTGATGATCGAAAAATCGGACCTATACTCGGAATTTTAATTCGATTCCAGATTTGACAATTTCAGTGTGGCAACGTTATGACAAGTACTAAATAGTGACGTTGCGAAATTATTCGATATGGAAATGAAATATTTCTGGATCGATTCTTCTCGTTTATAATAATTATAATTTTACTCTCGTGAACTAAGTTTATCAGGAAATTAAATATTTCTGAACCGATAATTTAGTTTTGACGATTAATTAACGATCTGAGACGTTTCTTTTATAATTGTGTGTGAAATAAATAAAAAAATGTAATCATGAAGGAACATGACAAATAAAACAGATAGATGTATTATGGTAATAAGTTATTTTATAAATTGTCGCCGTCATCGCTATCGCTATCCTGTCACTTTCTGTAACATTTATTATAAAACACACACATTGATTGTTTATCGATTTTTGTGTGCATCACTACACTATTATATGTGGTATCATTATTTCACAAAATGACAGTAGCTATTGTCAAATCTGGAATCTAATTAAAATTCTGACTATAAGTGTAATTTTCGTTAAATAAAATTATTTTAACATTAAAAAATTTATTAATAAAATAAAAATATAGGTACATTAAACAACTTATTATTACTTGAATACAACATTAGAAAATAAAATATTCATTAAACAGTTTATTAATATAGTATTATAAAGTAAAAGTGTACATTTAACAATTTATTAATACAACATTATAAAATAAAAGTGTACATATAATACAGCACTATAAAATAAAAGTGTAAATTATACAATTTATTAATGCAGCGTTATAAAATAAAATATTCATTAAAGAATTTATTAATACAGCATTATAAAATAAAAGTGTACATTATACAATTTATTAATGCAGCGTTATAAAATAAAATATTCATTTAAGAATTTATTAATACAGCATTATAAAATAAAAGTGTAAATTATACAATTTATTAATGCAGCGTTATAAAATAAAATATTCATTAAAGAATTTATTAATACAGCATTATAAAATAAAAGTGTACATTATACAATTTATTAATACAACGTTATAAAATAAAATATTCATTAAAGAATTTATTAATACAGCATTATAAAATAAAAGTGTACATTATACAATTACTTAATACAGCGTTATAAAATAAAATATTCATTAAAGAATTTATTAATAGATCATTATAAAATAAAAGTGTACATTATACAATTTATTAATACAACATTATAAAACAAAAGTGTACATTAAACAATTTATTAATGCAGCGTTATAAAATAAAAGTGTACATTATACAATTTATTAATACAACATTATAAAATAAAAATATATTACTTTAGAAAATAGAAAACAACTACACAAAAAATAATAAATAATATTAGTACCTATTAGTAATAGACGGCTACTGTACAGATTGTGTACCTTAAGTTTATGAATAGATACTTATTACTTATGTAGGTATGTGGATACTACACAAGGTTAGGTACCTAAGCTATGTAGTCATTTTCGTCGGTACTCGTACCTTAGTTAAGTATCTTCATATCCATCCGCAAATCAAGTCATAATGGAAGGTTCGGGTATTTCATGTAAATGCCATTGTTTGGTTATGTGAGATGGTGCTGTTTGAATGCTTCAATGCCTTATGAAAGTGTCGTGTCGGTTTCGGTATATTCTTGCGGGAGCGACGGAAGCGACCTATGAGTTTGCGCGCTAAAGCACGCTCATGAGCTGCTAAGTCATGCTCTTTCTGAGACCTGAGGAGAAGATATTGATATCTTTGAAAATTTGTAACTTATAAAAGTGTCCCTGACGTCGGCGTCTAAAATTTTTTAAACGTATCCCCACGGTATTATTGTCGCCTGTGTCATACACATGACACTCAGACCCGAAACAACAATTTGTGGATCCCACAAAGAGTTACTCCGTGCGGGAATCGAACGAACCGCTACATGTTGCGTGGCAGCTGGTTATCCAGCCACCGCGCCAATAAGTCAAAAGTATTGACGGACATGAAATGTCACAAGCAAGAATACCTAAACATTTATGTTACTAAAACGTTTCAAACCTTTCAGTTGCTAGAAGGACAATTGGCGTTTCTAGTGGTTGTCTGTAAACCTGCTGTTCAGGCTTTTGGGTCTGGTAAGCTTCTGCAAATTAGAAAAACACTCATTCATATGCATATAAGTTCTATAGCACAGAAGTTTCACGGGATCCCTTCTTTTTGCAAAATATTCTTAATCCTAATATACTTTGGCATAATTTTGGTATAATTTGTTTTGTCATATCTGGATCTGACATACAGTTTATGTTATTAAGCTAAGCGTCATCATCAACAGCTGGAAGACGTCCACTGATGGACGGAGGCTCCCCCTTAGCCCTCCACGTCCTCTTTAAGCTAAGCATAAGCTTGCTGAATTATTAAAGACGCATAACAATGCGTTTATTATAAATTATATTTATTAATAATTACAATTTATAATAACTACTCCCCTAACTTACTAACCAAGTACTGGTCGTGGCTCGTAAGAGTTACCATCTTCTTCGTTAGGTATATTGGTGGATACGGGTATGTTTTCGTTTTCTTTCCGTCCGGTTCGCAAATGGTATTGCTCCCCTGGTTCGGCTCTCGAGAAGTCTGTAAGACAATGATTATATTAAACAATAGTTTTAAGTTAAAAGCAATTAGTAACGCAGGAAATGAAATAGGCATCACAGGTAAGTACTTACAGGCAAAATCAGTTAGTTCTTTCTGTGCGTAGTGATAGCCTACTGAGATGCCGTACACCATCAGCATGAGTAGTGCGAATATTAGCGCTATTAGGACGAAAGCGCAGCAAATCCATGTCAAGATTCTAGTGATTAACACGGAACTTATTAGTAAAAAGATCAATCTTACAATAGGTATACACATACATAATTAAAGTTGAAGAGACTATTTGTTCAAAGACGCTAATTTCTAGAGCTACCGCTTTGAATTAAATATTTTTTTTTGTCGGATTGTCCGTTTATTGAGGAAGCTATCAGCTACAAAATATATCGCTATAATCAATAGGAGCGAAGCACCAGCAGATTGGAAGCATGTTTCTCAGAGGAATTTTTGTTTTATTCTCTTCGCTTATAATGTAATGAAATGAGCTATAAATATAGGTAATCTATATTTATTTGGATCTACCTACTTATAATGTAAGTTGTAATATTATTTAAACATAGAAAATCTTCACATAAATAGTTATCACGAATTCTAATTTATTTTAATTATTAATTGTTTTACTAAAAATAAGATTTAATTTGTTGCTACACATTGTCTATGGTTTATGTTTTTTATGATGGTTAGTAGCAACACTGGGGTGGCGCGAAAATTATGATTATAGATTATTGTTGAGTGTCGCAAAGTAGCTATTTAATTGTTATCAAACGTCACACATTATAAATCCAATAAAGGTAAAGTAGAGTTGTGAATAATAAAACCTGTTTTCAATAGTTTTTTTTTGTTTTTATGGGATAAGCCGGTAAACGAGTAGACGGATCACCTGATGGTAAGCAATCGGCCTCGCCCAAAAATGACTGTGCACTTCTGTTATTTCTTAGGAGATACAGGAAAAAGAAACAAAGAAGATTTTGGGAAAATAAGATTTTGATGTGCGATGCGAATCAATATGTAGGGCTCGCACATTTTTATGATGCGACGTCGCATCGCAGTTTTGTGTACGAGACCTAAGACTCGATACTGGATATTGGGATACAAATTGGGAAATGAGATAAATACTGAAGTAGAAATGGATATTTACTTGGTATTTATCTGAAA